AGAAGTGTGCACTTTTAAACATACTGAGGCATATATCTAAGTAGATTCAGTGGACAGACAGATGTAGCCCAATATACCAATTCTAAAAAAGATGATGGTGAGATAGCAGAGTAGGTTGAAATATGAGATGAGTTTGTGCTAATGATCTTCTAAAAGCTAGTTGCAGACTTCAGCCAGTGTGGCAAGGTGGACGCAATATATTGGAACAAAAGCTATCCTTGGCCACTGTTGTTCAGCTCTAAGCAGCCAGTTCAGCGTGGCAATGATGGGAGCCTGGGAGCCAAATTCTTGCCCGCCCTCAGATGGAACATGGCACGGGAAGTCCAGAGTAGGAGAGAAAAACAAAAGGGAGGTTGTACCCTCATAGAAAGTAACCCAGAATCTGATGAGAGGCAATTACAGCTTTGGTTTGTTAAAAATACAATACTGTCATTATGTTAATTTTGTGAAAAATAGTGTCTACAGACAGTGATACAACAAGAATTCCCCAGTTCTTGCTGCTTGAAGGGATTATAAAAAGCTCATTATTTCAGCATATAAAACTGAACCACCCTAATTCTACTTTATTGGCAAATCAGGTTATTCACGTTTCTCTTTGAATGAAAAGGGTTTCATGTGACACTGCACCAATTTTTTTGCTTTGCCATCTAAAATTAGTTCCACTTAGTTGGGTACCAATGACCTATTCAATGTAAAATGCATAAAGGCTACAATCAGCACAATACTACAGCATCCAATGCACAGTTACCACCAGTGTAGGATGAGTAAAGGTAATGAGGCATGGAACAAAACAAAGGTACTATTCACACAGAACTGTTTTATAAAATGATTTTAAGGATTCATGCATGTTCATCTGCTTCTAGGTGGAGAGCATATCAATTGTTGTGGACAAAAGGAAAACCAAGGCTTTTTGAAATCCTACAATTAGGGAATGCGACAGAACAAGATATTCTCTTTATTTTATATCCATTTCTCTTTTATGTACTGCTAAAATAAATCTCTCATTTATTTCATCACCTATATTTCTAAAAAAATAAGAATTAATTCCATTGAGAATAATTATCTTTGGTAAAATGGTGGAATATGTACTTAGAAATATTTCTCTATGCTTAAGAGCTATTTTACTTTTAGAATGGACTCAAATCTCTTCTTTGGTGGAAAAATAAAAATGATAAATGTCAAGAAAGTATTGCAGTTATGCTCTAAATCCACACTTTAATAAAAAATAAACCACAGACTCCCAAAAGAGAAGCGATATTACAAGTCTCTAATTGAGTGAAGTGAGGCAACGACTATAATTACAATGCCAACTCCATATCACTTTCACTCTTGGCTAAGCCCAAGTGAAGCAGAGCTTCGAAAATTCATGTAACATTAACGAAGAGCCAATATTCTTGAAAAATGTTAAGACTGTTGAAAAAAAATGGTTGAAATTTTTAAACGTAGAATATTTTTCTGCATGAATTGCAGTTCTACTGTAGTAGATGGGAAGCCCAAATGGCGCAAGACTATCCTCCCAGGATAATACCACACCACTTCCTGCAATTGGGTACAAGCTTCCCAAAAGTTAAGTTATATGCAGCATTTGCATTAATTAGATGAAAAGATATATAGCTTGTTTTTCACAAAACTAATTTAAGGAGTATTCCCAGAGTTATGAAGGTCCTAAAACACTATTCCAACAATGGTGCAGGTAAATGAGTTGTTCTCCCAAATCTCCTTCATAGAAGATAGTTAATTAAAAAGAAAAACTAATTTATACATTCTTTGCCACTTTCTCACATATGATTCTTTGAACAAAAAATGGCTGTCTGATAAACAGTTAAAAAGGAATCCAATGCTGTTTACCAGTGGTAGAACAGCACTTTCAAAACTGAGTCACTCCAAAGGCTGGGAGTTTTTTTTTAAATTTTGGTCTACATTTTTGTTATTGCTGCAAATAGACTGCAGCACAAAGTTGTTTGCCTATTTATTTACAGCAAGGATAACAGATTATTAAATTATTAGCCACCTGCAAACACAGCAACAATTCCCCCAGGCCCAAGTACTCATTATCAATTGATTTAGTTGCTGCTCCAGATTTGTAAGTAATGACGTCATTAGAAACTGCATAGTGACTTGTTCTTGTTTTTAATTACAAAAAGGTTAAATGCTGATTTTTCTCTACTGAAGATGACTTGGCATCACATGTGCTCCAATCAGACTGAGCGATGGTCTAATGATCTTAGTTCCAACCCTCAACTTGTAGAATTTTATATTCAAACACACAGAGCCGGATGGTATCAAATTTTCTCCCCACTTTCAAATAAAATATTATCATCTAACTCATATAATACCTGCCGAATACAGTACATACGTAACTTTTGCTTGGGAACCAAACATTTAATTATTTGCATTTTTAAAGACTTAGATGCAATCGTATAAACTTCTTTGTTTTTGGAAGTTGTGAAATTGTGGATAAAAATCCAGGCTACCCTCAATATACTTGCAAAAATAAATTTGTATCTACAATTAACAGCATTGTCAGTGAAGAGTAAGCTATTATGGATACAACCTAGGTAGCCACCAGAGCAATTGCAACACTTGCATTATTGCAAAGGTAAATTGAAACAACATTGGCTATAAATACTAAGGGACTTCCTGGACAGTCACATCCCTCATAATTATAATTCTATTAGAATTCTTCCCTGCACATTAAACAAGCTAATTGCTAACATTTTTGAAGAATTCTTTTTATTAAAGCCTCAATGCAATTAAGTATTGCTTTGAATAGTTCAAGGCCATTTTCCACTCAAATCAGTAAGCTTTTATTATAGCCTGTAAATGTCAAATAAACTATAGCTATATTTAACTACTCAGTGAAGTCACAGATGTAGTTTAATTGTACAATTTATTTTAAACTAAATTAGCTAAGCAACTATATTGTACTTTCGCCTGCAAATGCAAAATCACTAATAATAAACCTAATATTTTTGTATGTGATATAGTACTTTTTACTTCAAGAAGATTATCAAAGGGCTTTGCAAGATTTATTGTATAGTGACTATGTATTTTGTAGGTGGATGCAGCAGCCAATTTGTGCACAGCAATGTCCCACAAACAGCCATGAAGTGTGTGACCAATTTTAAATGGGGGATTGTTGGCCAGGACACTGAGTGGAACTCCCTTCTCTTTTCTAATAATGCCATAGGATCTTTAAAATCCATCTGAACATGTAAATAGGGACATGCCTGCCAATGGAATGTCGGAATTGAGCCAGCCCTCTGTGGCAGTCTCGGTCGTCCCATGCATGAACCGGACGGGTCCGCAGTATCCCAGGGCACTGCTGACAACAACACATCCAGCCTGGCTCATTGGCAGGACCTGGAAGGGCAGACTAGTCACTGGGGGCAGGGAGTCATCCCACTCAGCTCCTGTTAACCCTGCAAGCCAAAGCCCCAACGGGTAGCGTGGTCCTAGCTGGACAAGCTGCAGGAAAACTTACCAGACAGCAATATCAATGGCAAGCTATGCAGTTTTAGCTGGTTAGGCTCCAGCAGTACCCCAACGCACACTCTGGGGTCCCTTGGCTCTTGCCAACCGTGCCTCTTATTTTCTGGAATTAGGTAAACAAGATGCATCCCTCCAGGGAGAGAGTGCTTTCCATTCCAACAATTTATCTCTGGGATTTCCATGTGTAGGCGAGATGCATGGAAATCTCAGCTTGGCTACTCTTAAACACGGTGATGGTTTTCCACATATGTCAGACACCCAGCTGACCCAAAAAAAATGTAAATAGGGCATTCGTCTAACATCTCATATGAAGAACATCTAATCCACAACCATCTAACTCAGAGGTTAATACTCATTACACTTGACAAGAAAAATCCTGTGAAGTACTTTGAATATTTCAACAGAGTTAGAAGGCACAATATCAAGTTCAAAGACAATGGTGTGGAGGACTCCCAAGTACTGTTTCAGCAAAACCTCAGATCAAAGAATCATCTCTCCTTCAAATCAATTTAGCAGTGAATTTTTCAATATGTACATTTGTCTTCTACCACACAAAGGCAAATTCACATAATAATCATCTTGGCATTTGATATAGCGTCTTATCACATCATTGAGACATCTCAAAACACTTCACATGATCTACTGTAAGGTGGATTGATTGTATTTTGTTGCGTACAGCAATGTCCCACTAACTGCTATAGAATCAGTGACCAATTTTATTTTGGGGGATTATTGGCCAGGACACTGGGAAAAACTGTCTTCACAGTCTGAACAGGCAAACAAAACATCAGGTTAACGTCTCATCTGAAGGACGGCACCTTCAACAATGCAACATGCTCCCAGCACTGCATTGGAGTGCTATCTTACACTATGTGATTCTATGTCCCAAGTGGGGCTCCTTCTGACTCAGGAGATAATGCTACCACTGCACCAGGCTGACATACATCTAATTCTTACTAAATATAAATTAGAGCAAAAATATATTTTTTCAATTTGAAGCTCTCCAAATTACTCAGTTGGCAATGTATCTGTGCAGAGTGGCTCCAAACTATGTAGACCTGGAAGTTTGATCCCTGAATTGCACTGAGTGAGGGAATCTCACCCAGGATGCAGTAACATGGGAGTACACTTGGACTCACCACCTCCTGGGATAGGAGGCACAAAAGTAAAGAAAGTTGGACGAGGTACCAGAATGCACTACAATGTGATTCAGCAGGCTCTGAAGAGAAAATTGGAACTTCCCATTAACTGAAGCTATAAATTCAACTATCTGAAAAAGCACCATTATCTACAGTGCCAAAAAGATGGTTTATGTGTTAAGCTTTAAGCACAGTCATCTTATTTCTCACGTCCTACAACCGTAGCAGAAATTCTGTGGGACTTTTACATAGAATTTTCTTTTGCAATTTCAGAGTCAAATTCTGAGTAACCCATCTGAAACGTAATTGACGGGTAATATTCTTTTTTTTAAAAAAAATGTCAGATAAATGAACTGTGGTTGAACATACCTGAATGGTCCTTTGGGTGCCATCAATGGTGACAGGCAACAAGGCTGAAGCAAGGTTCCACTCACTGGTCACATTCAGCGTCTTTCCATCCACCTCTACCTGTTGTGACACCAAACAAGACTGTTACCATGAAGACAGACAGAAAACAGATTTCAAGTTCAATGCTGTGAACAATGCAGCAGCCATTTTAAGCAGATGGTACCCCCAACAACCTGTCATGTTTATTACTCCTGCCATAAAAGACAGGGCCCAACAACATTGTATTCAAAATCATCTCTAGGGATCAGCAACGGACCTCAGAACAGCTGCTTCTGGTTAAGGAGGTTTCAAGCAATTTAAAATAAGTAACAAATAGTCATCCGACTTTTACACCTATCTTGATATGCTACATTTACTGCAATTTAACAAGTGCTGAATTTAAATTCCTCTGACACATTTCAACCTGCACATTAGGGCTTGTGTATAATAATTCAGGCCTCTAAGGGATACAGAGCATTTCTTCACTGCATCAATAATTATAACATAATTAGCATTCTTCATTTTAATCATCCAGAAGTTTCTACTAAAATACTATACATCTTAAACCAGGTCAATCTTGCAATTACAGAAGATTGTTTACATTGGAAATTTTACTATGATTTGATAAATTTTGTTAGTAAGACAGCTATACTCTAATTATTTGACACAATAGAAATTGAATGAAAAAGCTTACTACTGTACTAAGGCTCAATGTTAAGACTGCCTTGGTTATTTGCCAAAAGTGCCGTTAGGAGTGTCATATCAACAATTTAGCAGGTACAGGTCACACTTTATACTGATCAGTTGGAATAGTTAACCTCTCCAGTGGCATGTCAAGCCCACATAGTGCTGACTGGATTATGACATGCATTTATTTTAGCACAGCTAAGCTTCTCCCCCCTCCAACATCAACTCTTATTCTCCTAAGTAGCCCAGCACATTCCTACACAATGAACCATTTGAAGACTGTAAACCTCTTGGCTGGGACAACCGTAATTAATGATTCTTCTATGTTTTCTATAGCTTAAAAGAGAAGTCATTTTTGAAAATCAAGAGGACAGTGAGCATATAGGCATTGTCCCTTTACCTTTGGGTTTGGGTTCAAATCAAGTTAAATTGCCAGGATAAAAACTTCAGTGGTCAGTTAACTAGAATATTCACATGTGGAATCTATTTGGATGGTTTTAATCTGATTTCCTATGAGTCTTATAAACAACACAAAACTATACGGAACAAAATGACTGCCTCACTCAAAGGGGTAAATAATGTGGCATTCACAAACTAATGCAAATACATTTTTTTGCCACCAGCTCTATTCTAAGGGCAGATTACAAAGTTCCTCAATGCACAACCATTATATATCCTAGAGGGGTCATAAAAGAGGTTGGCTCAAGAAAGTGAAATATGTCACATAGTGGGGATGGGGGTATTTGAGATTGGAATTAAGGTACATTGTTGTGACAGACTGAACCTTTTCATGTTCTACCTGACCTTTGAGTGTTTGGTGCAGTTATTTTGTTTCTGAAGGCTTGAACTTACACTGATGTATAATACCATGGTGACCTCCAGTTTTTCAGTACATCAGTCAACTGGAACTCTTTATATGTGAGACAATGAGTGCCAACAGGTTATTTATGCATATGGGCATCACAGCCAAGTCTGTTGTTGTCCAAACACATTCCAGCTTGTGATAGTAGTCAGACGTTATCCCTTCCCTCGCCCAGGGTTCTGAAGCAAATTGTAGCATCTCCTTCACCTATTGTCTTGGCTGATCTACTTCCAGAACAGTTTCCACAGGACGCCAGGAATTACTTCTAGTTACAGTAAAAAGCCCTGTTTGCAAACTGAAGTAATTATTAAGCAATTCTATAATAAATTGCTGAGTTTTAGACCCACAAATAGGATTAAACCAAAAACAGCATAACATGACATTGGCAACATAAAAGTTCAGGCCATCACCTCAAAGGAATTAGGACCTGTTTCATTGTGGATAAGGAGACAATGTAGATAATTGGTCAATGCAAAACACAATTTTATTACAGTGTTAAACAAAAATAAATAAGATTTATAATATCAAGCCTGTGCCAGTCCTATCTTTCTGCTACTCTCTTCCACTCTCTGACGTTTTTCTCCTCACTCTTCCCCACCTCCCACATCGAGTCTCTATTTCTCTCCCCACTCCCACCCAAATCTCCCTCTCTCTAAGTCTTTCTCTCTGTCTCTCCTCACTGAGTCCATCTGTCTCATCATCTTTTCACATTCACGGCCACCCACTCGATTTGGTGACCACCCGGGGCCTCAGTGTCTCGGATATCACCACTACCAACTAGGCCGTCTCCGATCACCACTTCATCTCCTTCACCACGTCCACCCCCCTCCCTACCTCCACCAGACCCACCACCATCTTCTACCGCCCCTGGAAGAAGTTACCCCCACAATCCCTAACCGCTGTCTTTGGAGTCCACTGAACTCCTCTCCCTCTGGCCTTCATCCCTCACTGACCCCTCTTCTGTTCTCACCCTCCTCCACAACACCCTCTCCTCCACACTCGACACTCTTGCCCCCATCACCTCCCGCACTGTGTCTTACTCTCGCTCCTCCCCCAGTTCACCACCGACCTCCGCTCACTGAAGAGCCAGGTGCAGGCCATTGAATGCACCTGCCTCAAATTTGGCCTAACGGTCCACCGGCAAATCTGGCTGGACCTCCTCAAAACCTACCGTTCCACTCTAGCCTCGGCCAAGTCGTCCTTCTACTCCAGGATAATCCTGGAGGCGAAGAACAATCCTAGGCTTCTGTTCTCTACCACATCCCGACTCCTCCATCCCCCCTGCCAAGGTCATCTCCTCCAACTTTCAACGGCGAGGAGATGCTGGATTTCCTTGAATCCAAAATCAAGGGAATCCGCTCCGTGGTCACTGCCCCTCCAACATCCATCCACCCCCCACCCCTTCCCTCCCACACTCCGACTCCTACCCATCCTCCCCTACACACCTTCGAACCCGTTTCCCCACCCTCTGTCACCAACCTCATCCTGTCCTTGAAATCCACCACCTGCTCCCTGGACCCCATCCCCACTCCACTCCTTATCTCCCAGCTTCACCTTCTTGCCCCACTTCTCACAGACACCATTACCCTGTCCCTCTCCTCTGTTCCCATTCCCCTAAAATCTGCCACCATCACTCCCACACTGAAAAAACCCTCCCTTGATGCGACGCAGCTATCAAGCTACCGGCCCATCTCCAACCTCCCCTTCCTGTCCAAGGTTCTCGAAACAGTCATCGCCTCCCAGCTGCGTTCTTTCCTCTCCACCCATTCTATATTTGAACCCCTCCAGTCGGGTTTCCGTGCCTCCCATAGCACGGAAACAGCCCTGGTCAAGGTCACTAATGACATCTTGGCTATCTGTGACCAGGGCTCCCTCTGCCTCCTTATCCTCCTCGACCTATCGGCCGCATTCGATACGGTCGACCACTCTATCCTCCTCCACCGCTTGTCCTCCCACCTCAACCTTCAAGGCCCTGTCCTTGAGTGGTTTAGGTCCTACCTCTCCCACCGTCTCATTTTGTTTCCACAAACGGCTTTTCCTCCAGCCCCCGCACTGCTCGTGTGGCGTCCCTCAGGGCTCTGTCCTCGGTCCCCTCCTCTTCACCCTCTATATGCTCCCCCTTGGTGACATCATCCGCAGACATGGGGTTAACTTCCACATGTATGCGGATGACACCCAACTCTACCTTTCCTCCTCTACCCTCAACTCCACGACCACCGATGTCCTGACAGCCTGCCTGTCTGACATCGAGTCCTGGACGAGAGACAACTTTCTTCAGCTCAACGTGCGCAAAACTGAGGCCCTCCTGATTGGCTCACGTCAGCGCCTCCGCACCTCAGGCGCTGACAGCATCAGCATCCAAGGCTGCACTCTCCCCCTCTCAAAGCCAGTCAGGAACCTCGGGGTTCTGTTCGACCCTGAGCTGTCCTTTCTTCCGCACGTCCGCGCCACAACTGGCACTGCCTTCCACCACCTCCGGAACATCGCCAGACTACAGCACTACCTCATCCCTCACGCTGCTGAAACTCTGGTCCACGCCTTTATCACCTCAAGGCTGGACTATGGGAACTCTCTCCTCGCCGGCCTTCCCGGCACCTCCCTCCACAAGCTGCAGGTCATTCAGAACTCTGCAGCTCGTGTACTGTCCCGCACCAGGCTTCGCGACCACATCACTCCCACCCTCGCTCGCCTCCACTGGCTCCCCATCCCCCAGAGGATTGAATTCAAGATCCTCATCTTCACCTACAAGGCCATTCATGGCCTTGCTCCCTCCTACCTCTCTGATCTACTATTCCCCTACTTACTTGCCTGTACCCTCCGTTCCTCTGGCTCCGGTCTGCTCCATACCCCCCGCCCTATATGCCCTACCATCAGTGGCCGGGCTTTCAGCCTCTCAGCCCCCAGGCTCTGGAACTCCATCCCCCAGTGCCTTCGCCTTGCTTCCTCCCTTTCCTCCTTTAAGGCCGGTCTCAAGACCTTTCTCTTCAACCGTGTCTTCACCTCAACTCTCTACCCCCTCCCTCCGGTGTCCTGGCTCCATGGCTACCTCCCCTCACCCTGACCATTTCCCCCCTGCTCAGGTCCCGACCCAACAGTCCAGCGCCTTGGGACGTCCTCCCGATGTGAAAGGCGCTCTATAAATGCAATCTTGTTGTTGTTTTCCCTCAAGTCTCACCATCTCTCTAAGTATTTCCAACTCTCTCAATCTCTCCCCCACCCCGAGTCTTTCCGTCCTTCTCTCTCTTAACGTCATCCCATGCCATCATCCCCACCCACCCCCCTCTCAATCTGTGTCTCTCCCTCAAGTCTCTCCATCTCCCTTTGTCCCACAAGTCTCCCAGGTCTCTCCCCCCAACCTTGAGTCCCACCAAGTGTCTCTCCCTGAATAATAATCCTTGCATTTGATATAGCAACATATCATGTCGCCGAGACGTCTCAAAGCGTTTCACAGGCTATACTGTAAAGTGGAGTGACTGTATATTTTGTGAGCAGAATACCGCAACTAGTTTGCACACAGCGATATCCTACAAAC